ACCATTCCCATCCCAATTGCCACACCAGCAGTCAAGCGGTCCTCTTCAGACTGGGGAGACCAGCCAGAGTCCTTCATTGCAAGCTCTGCGGCACCGATGGCCATCACAGTGGCAGAACTCATGGACTTGATCTCTGACTTTGACACAAAGTTTTCTTCACTGAACTCACCCTCCTTGTTTCCCCTTGGCACACACGCAGCCACTCTACATGGGATGCCTGCATATTCTTCCCCATCTAGTGATGTAATCCCACTGCCTCCTTCCAGAAGGTGCTTCCACACAAACTGAGTCCCCACACCAAGAGGGGACACTAAGCCAATACCTGTAACAACTACTTTCCTTCGACATGAAGGCAGTGACTTGCTGAAAGCCCTTCTGTGGTTTTGTAAATGTAGATTTAAATTCAGACTCCGAAGATGAAGATTTGCAATCTTTAACAGATCCTGTGAGCACTGTGAGAACATGGTGGCAATAATCAGGCACATTCCTGTAAACGGAGAGGGGTGGAGGGGGTTGGGAAAGACAAACACAACAGTAAAGCAGACTGTATGGAAAACATTCCAAGAACATTAAATGAATAACCTGCTTTTTACATGACACCCTGAAAGAATGACTGAAGAAAGGGATATAGTGTCTGTGTATGAATTACAACAGATAATGGCAAAGAAATGTTCACTTTAGGAATGCCTCTAGTGAGCTCATTTAGCTTAAGCTGCTGATGAATATGACTTTGCACCACTGTGGACTGTGAAGCACTCTCTGGTTTTACTGCAAAATTTCCCCAGGAGCTTTAACCACAGCTGGCTGGAGGCAGAAACAATGAGCATTAACAGATTCATTCTTCTAAGGTAAAAAGTATGGCCCACAATTAACAAGTTGAGGATATTGTCATCTGAACCTTCATGTCAGGCAGAACGGTCTAGAAACCTCAAACAGGAGTCAATAAACTTGTTCTGGTTCTGCTACTAATGTAATTACACACCTAGGACGAGACTCCCTGTCTTTCCACCTCCACCTATATCAGCCTCAAGTTATTACACTGTCAGGGGACAGTATCTCAAGTAGCTTGAGCAAGATGTGGAGCACAGCACCACCTCCATTGAAGGCAACCCCACCTGAATAACAAGAGGCACAGCAAGTGATGGCAGAAGGCCTCTGCTGAGAACAAGTACTTGAGGAAAGACCAGAGGACTATGCCAAGCAGTAATGCTGCTGTACTGTGCTGTAGTCCCTTTTCCTTGCCTTGGCTACTGCCAGTCCAGAGCCAGCCTGATTGCACACATCTGACATGCTGGAGCAGGGCAGAGGCTGCAGTACAGCTCTGCCAACACCTACAGACAGGCTTCAATAGCTTGCCTGCTTTTTGTTTTGTCCAAAGAGTAACTTGGCATCCCCAGCTCTTTGGTGAAATGGAGAGAGCTGTATGAAGACCATAAGGAGCTGCTGGGTACTCATGCTAAAATATCCAGACCTGTGGCAGCACAAGTGCACAGCAGCATTACTAAAAAATGTCATGGAACCATAGAAAAGCCTGGGTTGGAAGGCACCTTAATGATCATCTCATTCCAACAATCCCTAACACGGGCACAGACACCTTTCACTGGACCAGGCAGCGGAGACCTGCATCCAGCCTGGCCAAGAACACTTGGGGTAGGGAATAAAAACAGTAAACAACCATATATTATATTTTATACATTATATTTTATACAGTGCCTTTTATACATATCTTATATATTATTTTTATACATATTTTATGCAATTATTAAACTTAATTATTAAGAAAATATTTTTAAAGGAGTCACTTTTAAATCCTGGCCCAAAATTTCCAAGTCACTTACCCTCTATAAAAGAGGTAGTGTGTGTGTATACGTGTATAAAAATATCATAGTATGTATTATATAATGCAAATCACATATATAAATATATAAAGAATATTATATATTCTATATCTAAGACAGAATATAAAACACCTCTGCAGTCATATTAAATGCATATTTATGGAGCATAGTGTATAACATATATATGGTTTATAGATACACTATACGATGTATATTGTATAGCATATACAATGTGTACGATAATGTATTTTATACACATTACTATACATATATATAATGTATGATAGCGTATTTTATCAGTGTATATATATACATACATATATACATATTTATACATACATATACATATATATACATACATACATATATATATATACATATATAAAATATGACTGCAGAGCTCTGTAAGGCAGCGCGTCCCGCAGCCTTTACTGAAATGCCGCCAGCCGGCGCCGAGCCGTCCTGTCCGACCCAACAACGCCCGATACCTGCTGTGCGGGAAAACCAGGCGCAGGATAATATCCCCCGGGAACAAGTGCTACCAAACACCCCAGACGTTTTTAACGTGTAAACCAGGAGTTAAACCCCGGCACCACAAGAAAACCCGGCGCCGCCATTGCCGGCCGGGCCCGCCCCACCCCGCTGGGAGCGGCGTCCCCCCGGCCCGTGCTGAAGCCCCGCCTCCCCCCGCCCCAGCCCCCAGCGGCGCCCCGCCGGCCGCGCTCCCCCCGCTCCGCGATGGTTCGCTCTACCTCCCTCTCACGTTCCGACGGCGGGAGGCCGCACCACTCCGCAGGCGCGGGGGGAAGGGAGGAGGTGCGCGGGTAGGCGCGGCCCGCGGTGGCTCCTCCCGCCTGGCCCCGCCCGCGGGCGCCGGTGTGGGCGGGCGGCGTGATCGTCCGAACGGCCCCGACACCGGGAAAAGGCGGTGAAGTAATTTCCTTCTCAAGCCACGTGTTTGCAAAGGAGGAGTAAAAAAAATTACAAAAAAAACAAAACACAAAAAGCCCAAAAACCAAACCAAAACAACAAAAAGAACCAAACCAAACCAAAAACCAAAAACAGCCCAAAAGCCTTTAAACAAACACTCCGGTTTGTCTTAGGCCTTTTTCCCGGCCGGGTTCCCTTGGCGGTTCTTAAATTTTTTTTCCAGTTTTCTTCACCGAGGCCTTGATTTGTTTCCGTTTTGGTTTTCTTTTTTTGTTATTCCTTTATTTAATTTTAGTAAGCAGCAGTGCAAAAACTGAAATAAATTTACCCCCGCACAACACAATAATGTTTATTAGCTGCAAATACAGCTACCTAAAAATACAAACTGTAGCCCAGTAATGAGGCATGCACTGCAGGAAAAAGAAGAGGAATAAAGCCAAAAAGGAGAAAGCCCCCCAATATTTAATAAAGAAAAAATGAATTTGTGTGTACTTTCTTTTAAATAAAGAGTCTGTTTTTAATTTGGAAATAAAATTCCTTTGGCATTTAATATGTTAGCAATTTTTTGGAAGTTGGCACTTGGTTTTCTAAATTTTTCACACTGCTTGCCTATGAGCACTCCCAAAGCATTGTTTACAAATGCTATGCTGAGATGCTTTATGTATTTATATGCATACATGTATCGCAATATAGTTAATCTTTGTATTTCTGAAGGCAGCCAACATTGAGAGTCACATGTCTACAAGTAACACATGGAAAGGAAATTAAAAGCTGAAGTAGAAGCCAAGGAACATGGCATAATTTTAAACTAAAATTTTGTTAGTTTGGTACCAGTTCAATGATCCTGAGGGATGAAATAGTAACATTTTAACTATGCTAGTGGGAATAATAAATGTAATCTCAGCAAAAGTGAACTGCCCTGTGTTAACTTTCAGTTTTTGTGAGGGATACACATACCACTATCTTAAACAGTCATAGAAGCTGAGCAGTGACCTGTCAGAAGCAGGCAGCAGAGCCATACTGTAGTATCACCTACAAAATCAGAAAGCAGCTTGGATTGTAAAGACTTCTCTTGCTTGGAACTCTTTAAATCTGCATTCTTAATAAAGCAAGGTTCTTCGCCACAGTTCTTTCAGTAGCGGCACAAATTGGACGTCTAGAAGAAGAAGACATGGGGTTTTTGCCTCTGTGGGATGGACTTTGGGTAGTGCAAGGCAGATGTTGTAGCCGGGGCAAGTCGCTGCAGTGACATTCCTGCTCAGGCAACCCTGTAAGCCTGTAGGTGTGGCACCCTCAGTACTATCAAACCAGGGAGTACAAAAGGAGATTTATGTCCTCAGTGATGTTACTGCCTACCAAGGGGCTCCTGATGTTCCAAAAACATGGGACAGGTAAACATTTTCTTAAGAAATTATGTTGTTTGATCTTTGTATACTTTCAAGCCAAATCGACCAGAAAGGAGATTTAATCAAGTTCTAAGTTATGTCCAGGTGTTAGAAAGACAAATTGCTTGTTGTCAGAATTGCATTTTTAGGGCTTCACATGTTTCAGTGAAATCACACATCAAAGAGGTGGAGGTTTACAAAGTTTAGGAAGAAGGATGTACTACTGTCAGTGGGCACAAAGAATGAAGAATTTATTGGACACAAGGAGATTAGGCAGAACTCCCAAGACAAGGAAGAAACCAGCAAAGCCAACTCAGCAGCAGTGCTGGGATCAGCTCTGGCTGGACAGAAGGTAATTCTGGCAGGGCAAGCTTGCAACTATTGACGAGAGAAAAAATGAGCATGTGGACTAATCAGCGTAAGAGGGGAATCATTTGACCAACGGAAGATAGCATGTTTATTAATAAGAGAACTGTGTAACTTGTATCCAGTGGACGTGAATGCCTTTATTTGCTAGAATGTATAAATAGTGATAAATTTCGGTAGCTATCGTGCCGTCTTTGCGCAGCCCTTTCTGCGCAGATCTAGAAATAAATCAAAAACCTCGCCCCTGCGCGTGGATCGGCGCCTTGCACACCGTGTGGAGGAAGCTGCTTCGGGACACAGGTCCCGGTGTGGCCGGGAGGTGCCGCCCAGACCAGCATTGAACCCTTCACGGCCTCCCCGCAATGCGCCGCCCGGAGCCGCGGGGCCGCGCCCGGTGACGCCCCAGCTCCCACTGCGCATGCGCCCAGCGGCAGGCGGCGCTGCCCGGCTGAGGGCGGTGACCTCGGTACTCGCGCGGCGCATGCGCGGGGCGCAGCGCCGGGGGCGGGCAGCGATGGCGGCCGCGCTGGGGCTCGAGTCCTCGCCGGGCTCCGCCGCCGTGAGCGAGCTGTGCCAGAACAGGCGGGAGATCTTCCTGGAGGCCTCGCGGCTGCTCCTCACTTACGCCGACAACATCCTCCGGTGAGCGGGGCCGCCGCCCTCGGTCCGCGGGCGGTGCCGCAGGGTCCCCCCGGCCGCTCCCGGCTCCGCGCGGCGCCTTCGGTTCTGTTGTGTAATACCGGAGTTCAGAAGCGTCTCGCGTGGTTTTGTCGTTATTTTTAATTTAATGCTGCTTACCTAGAGGTGTAGTGTTCTGTATTTCTGTTTCTTTATTGCTGGTTGGTTTGTTTTGTAAGTTTAAGAGTTTGTTCACAACATACTACCTTGTTCCTGATCATCCACCTTAGGTGGGTGTTGAACTACCTAAAAACAAGTGGTGCACAGCAAGGAATTTAACTTGATTTTAACTTAATTTTATTTTTTATTCTATTTTTCGCTTGCCCTATGCTTCTGACTTCGCAAGGTTGGTACCAAGAGTTAATTACAGCTGGATTTCTGCGAGGTGGCTCTGTAGGATGCACATACACGCTAGTACATGTGATTGACCTTGATATCTTCCAGCAACTCGAGGTGTATGGGCTGCCCCTCCCTGTCTATATCTGGCTTGTCTTTTACAAGCTTTTACCTCTTGTAAAAGCTGCTGTGTGACAGAGAATGGCGAGTCCGGGCCTGGCTTCATTTAAAGGAAGAGGTGAAAGAAAAGAGTTTTAAAAGAGTTGAAAGAGCACCTCTCTGTGCTACTGAGACCCAGTCGTTTCACTCAAGTACCAGGAAGATTAGCATAGCTTCTATAGTGGGACCAAAGCCATCCAGTATTAACCTGACGTGTTCAATTAGAATGCACCAGGTACAGGGAGATGTGAAGTTGTCTCTAAGTGTCACTTAGCCCTGCTGGGTATAACTACAACATGAATTCATGAACATAAGTTGCAAGCTAAACTTTAACCCTAGTTGGTAACTCAAAGCTAAGTACAAAAAGACATTTATAAAGTCAAAGTTTTATGTTGGTTTTGCTGAAGTGACATAAATGAATCTAAAATTAAAAAAAAAAAAAACTTTCATAGTGCAGTTGCACAGCTTTTAAGTGTCTACTTCATTTGCAAATATAATTATAACTTTCAATTTGTTCAGGAATCCCTATGAGGAAAAATACAGATTAATTCGGATTGGAAATCCAGCATTTTCCACAAGGCTGTTGCCCGTCAGAGGAGCAGTTGAATGTTTATTTGAGATGGGATTTCAAGAGGTGAGTATAATGTAGTAACTAAAGGTGTCTGCCAGTTTACATAGTAAAATTTAAAATTGCAATTTTTTTTCTACTTCTCTAGTTGCAAGGCAGCAGTACATTTTAGGGCAGTTGGTATTTTCTTTCAGTCCTTGTCTGCCAATATCTGTAGCTAGCCAGCAGAGAACTTAGATGTGGCTGCTTCAGAAAAATGATGAGCTAACGTAATGCTTAACAAGATTTTTTTTTTAGCTGCTCAGGCACTGCTGGTTTACTGAATGGCTGGGTTCATATCCATGCTGGCACAAAGGACGTAGTGGGAAGCAAGGTGGAAAATCCTTTTCTTTGTAGTAATCTGCTGTTTGGTGAACATCAGACATTATAAATGGGTGTTGAAACTACCATTTTAAAGAGAGAAAAAAAATAAAAGCCCTGCTCTTCTTCATATTCCTACCATTAGTAGATCCCTGTAGTGATTTAGGTAAGGGAAGCTGATCTGATGAAAACTTAATTTTTCAAAACAAAACCAGAAATGTTTTTCAGCCAATTCACAGTGCAGCTGCACAAGTACTGGTGTTGTCATGGCAGCAGTGAAGGGCAATAGACTGACTGTTCAAGTAGTAGTAGGAGGGTGAGTCCTTCAAAACCCATTTTTAAAACTTATGGAACATTATCCTAAAATAATGTTGAGTGAATCTTGATTCTGTTGCAGTCAGAAGGATTCATTTTAAAGATTGCTTTGTGTTCTGTAGTGGTCCCTGTCTTGGTGGAACTTAAACTGCCAAAGATTGTTAATCTAGAAGCAGTTTTTATAATTGCTGGAAAGCTGGTCTGAAAACCCAGCTCTTGTTTAACAGTGCAAAGTTCTTGTTTTGCTTTAATTTGTCTCTTTGATGCCACACTTCTGTATGGGTTTGTACATGATGTTACTTAGGTCCAGCTGTCATGAGACCTCTGCCTTCTCTTTGGGTAAATTTAATTACTGTAATGTTTTAATTAGAAGAAAAAGTATGCTGAAAGAAGTGGTGACTACGGAGAGAGAAATGGTCTGTGGATGTATTCTCATGCTGGTGCTCAGGAGGCTTTTAATTGTGCATTTTAGCCAGGAGGTGGGCAGTGTAGGTGGGGGCAGGTCTCTGAGAGTGTGTTGCCTCGGTCTTATGGTTATTGTGTCAGTCAAAGGTGTGGAGCTCACAAACTTCTCTTCAATTGCATGGCTGATATTGTTCCTTCTTTTGTTTCTGCTTGATAATGGATTGATACATTCTTTTGAGTTTTGTGGTGATTTTAAGTGTTAACACAAAGCCTCCATCTGCTGTGATATGTGACCTCAAGTAACTGTAGGTAAACAAATCACCTTATAAATAGAAGTGCTGCAGTGGTAGAAACTGAAACTGTTAAAGGATGAATGTTTCAGGATATTCATGTTTTTAGTAACCTGTTCCTGTATGGTAATTACACAGATATTTGATTTGATTATGTCATAATTACTGATCTCTTGTTATACTACCAGTAATTATGTTGCAGTTCAAAAATAAAACCCAGAAATCAACCCAGGTACCAGTTGTAATAAGGATAATATTGCCTATCTGAAAACTTAAAACTTCAACATAAAAGATACCATTATGTAAGAGAATTTCCAGCAGATGCTGTTGGGACTTCTTCCCTCAACATTGGATGTCTTCCTGTGTTGCCTAGGATTTCATTGCTGTACTGTGAGAACTGAGCATTAATTGTTCATTTCTGTTGTTGCTGCTTTCTGTGCCAAACCATAATGACATAGCCCACAAATGTCTCCACAGAATAAGCTACTAACAAAAGCATGCTGTTATGAGCCCTCTTTCTCTAGATTGACTCTAGCTTCTTTATCTGGTAGGCTTCTGAAGCTGTGAGAGGCTTCAAGCTTTTACTGTAAGGGATCTGATCTAAAAGGTTGAATCCTGCCAAGCATTAGGATGCTAACTTCCAGTAAACTTAGCTACAGCTACAGATCATTGACCAGCTTCGACCTGCATTAACTGCTGAATTAATTTGTCTAAATTTCAGGGAGAAACTCACCTGGTTTTCCCTAAGGAAGCTTCAATTGAGCAACTACGTAAAATCAGAGACTTAATTGCTGGAGAGAGGAGTAGCAGACTGAATGAGTCAAACCAAATCCACAGATCAGGAGCCTCTGAAACTGTCAGCAGCACTCAGACAGCTGCACAACGGCCTTCGAGACCTGTTGATTCTGTTTTTGCCCCTGCTCGTCAGCGACCAGAAACATCACTTGTGCAGTCTCTTGAAATGGTAATTATAATTTGTGAACTTCATATGCTCGTTAGTCTTGCATATAAGTATTGAAGAAGAGTTAACTGTTAGGACAGGTTGCTCTGAGAAAATGAGTAGAGTCCAAATAAGCACACTGTTAAGCCTAGAGCAGCTTGGTTTGACCACATAGCTAATCTTGCTTTAAGAAGGTTGGACTAGACATTTTTTCCCCACTGCTTTCTGAAGGCTTTTGAGTATTTTCTTCAGTTTACATAGAACTTAAGCATGAAATGTGCTCTAAACAGAATGTTAGCAAGAGATTTTGTTGAAGATGTCCATGAATATTCTGTTGGTCAGGGGGTCAAGAAAAAAAGCTCATATGTATTGAAAAGGAACAGCAGGATGGGGAACAAGGGGGAGAGTGAGAAGCTAAGACTAGGGTTGTGTTTGGTGTTTGAGAGCCAACAGAGGAAAAGAAGCATAACCGTAATGCTTATAATTGTTGATGTCTTGGTTCATGCATTATGATCTCTATGTATAGCCTGTGAGGAGGCTTTCTTTTTTCACATGTGTGTGTCATTAAAAACAGAAATTTAGCCAGACAAGGACAAATTTATAGTTATTTAGGCTAAGTTTCCCTTGTCCAAGAGGTTGAGGTGAAGTTCCTGATCAAGACAGAGCAGAGTCCTTTCATCTGATGTTAACTGGCTCGCTGGGAGAAGATTCAGCACCTCAATTTTGAAAAATTGATTTATGCCTCTTGATAGAAGCTTTTAAGGATGCTTTGGTGTAACTTTCTGAAGAGTTTTTCCTCCTAGAACCAGTGTCACTTTAATCTTGAAGTTGGTGTAAGATGAATCCCTCCAAAAGCTCACTTCCCATGCATTCTTAAACACAATTTGCATATTTTATATTATTATATTATATTATATTATATTATATTATATTATATTATATTATATTATTATATATTATATTATATTATTATATTATATTATATTATTATATTATTTTATACTGTTGGATATGCTGTATGCTGTTTCTTCCCAATGCCTACCCAAGTCAGTGAATGAGAAATGGCAAAGTGTTATTTGAAGTGATGGCTTTTGGGGGTAGAGAGTGCTAAATGACCCATCCTCACACAAAAGGTCCTTTGGGAAAGGTACTGTTGTAGGCATGTTGTATTGAGACATTTAATCTAATTATGTTAGCATGTTAGCCTGTTGCCTCTAAAATATACTGACTGGATTAGTTTTACTTTGTTTGGGGATTTCTGGGTTAGTTTTTTGGCCTGCTTCTAGATTTTTATTGTTTCAGTCACTTCTGCAATGGTGGTTGGAAGTGATGATGAAACCTGTAGAGTGATTTCCTGCTGTTGTACGGCTTAGTATGGGAAGCTTTAGAAGTTGAACCTGCAAGGACAACAATTTTGCACAATGTTGACACTATGTATTCTGATGTTAATCCTTCCAATTTCTAGTTACACTGCCCCAACATACACTAGCCATCAGAGTTGTGCATCAATTTCTCTGAAACTGTTCATTTTCCATCCATACCTGGATGGTGGAACCAAACTTAATACTATTTAGAGGCTTTAGTAGTGCATTGTTGGCACTCTGTTAGAATGCTGTATTTAGCTGATCTCTACAGGAAACTATACTGTTAAGTCTCTGAGCCATTGAATTTGGTCGTTATAGTCTGAATTGATTGGAAGGAAGTCTGGCAGTGACTTGGCCATTTTGCTTGCACAGCAGTGGGGGATTTGTTTTCCAGTGAGTGCGCTGCAGAGTTATAGTTGTATTATCACTGTATGCACTGCTGACAGATGTCAGAGAGATTTAGAGTTGTTTCTGTAGTGCAAGCATTTTTTTCTTGCCTGTGTATTTCGCCTGTCATTCACGGGAGGCCTGGTGAAAGTGTACCTGAAAGAACAGAGGAATATTCATAAATAAACAATCCTAGGGACCTAGCCCACCGTTAATTTGCCTCATTGTTTTCTTCTGCATTTCTTGTCGTAAAGTATTCTTGAGACTTAGGGAAAGGAGAGCTATGGCTAGTTGTTAATTCTGGTGGGTGGATTCTGATCCCTTCTTGAATGGCATAGTGATTACAGGAGGAAAGGTGTATCCAAACTTAGAACTGCAGTGAGATTCACCTGGCTTCTATGATTAAATGTTTGCATAACACTTCATACAGAGCCTTTTATAAAGCAGATTAAGCACTACTGTAACACTGATGGTTTTGCATCAGAAACCTGAGTGGGCATAGAATCTGGGAGACTTTCTGCTGTGCTGAGCAATATCCCTGTATACCCTTTCAGGAAGCTGATGGACCATGAAGGTCTTAAGGCCTTTGGCAGTCTCTAATGCCCCTTTTTTCTTCCTTTCAACTTGCATTAAAGTGAATCTGGATGCAATGGAGTTTATGATGTTAAACCAGTTACCTACAGCTGATGAGCTCCTGGAAGGGCAAAACCAGCTCTGTTCTATTTTAGCAGTTATGAAAATTAAAGACTGATCCTGAAGTACTGTAACAGCATCAAAACAATCACTTGTAATTTGAGTACTCTTTTAACAGAAGTTTCTTCTTTTGAAGAAGAGTTCAAAAGAAGAGTTCTCACACTTGGGTGTATGATATTACATTTGCTGCAAGTCTCTCAGGAAAGCATTGCATTTTTTATTAAATTAAAATGGTAGTTAACAAAGCTAAAGGCTGGAACATGATATAGCAATAGAGAAAAGGTAATTTAGCAGTGCCATAAGCTTCCCCAAAAAATATGCCAGACTCTTACTTTCAAAGTCCCATTTTCACTTTCTGTATTGTTCCCTTTTAAATGGGAACAAATAGTTTGCTCAGCTACCAACTTCGTTATTATTAACTTCAGCTGATAGTTTTAGTATCTGTGTGTGTACCTTTTTGGGTGCAATATGACTGTAGGTGACACTTAGGAGAACTGACTGAAGGGAGCCTAGTTCATGTATCCAGTTGCTACATATTGGGTGGTTCAGTGGGTGGTTACTGGGCTGTCTGTATAAACCTCAGAGTTGATCTATAAAAGAAGCAAGTAGAAACAGACAAGCAACATTCATGAATAAGAAATAATAAGCAGAATTCATAAATAATACAGTTCTACAAATCGATATAGCAGCATCCAGAAAATGAAAGTTATTGCTTGTCTTTTTGTGGATTTTGGGTAAGCAGTGTCCAAAAGAAAGGTGGGGAAGAGAAGTCAAAGACTTTCCCATTAGAGGTATCTTTAAAAACAGTTTTCTCCCTCAGTTAATTGACTTTTCACTCAAGGCACCATTCAAAATTCTCAGAGACAACAAGACTGGCTTTACAGTTTGGGTCATGGGTCTTCAGTTCTTGTTGATATCTTTGCAAATAAACATTTCACCCATAAATAAATATATAATGTAAATATGAACATAGAATTATGACTGACTTAACTAAGCTCTCCTCTTTTAGTTTATTTTGCCTGAAGGTGAAAGTTCATAAATCATCTTGTAACTGAAAATCCTTTTGCAGGCTGCAAATATCTTGAAAACACTTCAAACAAAATTTGAGGGCCTTGTATTGATGTATGAGAATCCTTCTATTCAGCAGAAAGCACTGGCTGCAATTCCCCTCCAGGAATTGAAAAGCAAGGCTCAGAAAAAGCTATCACAAGCTACAAGAGTGGACAAAGGTAAGGCTGCCAAGTTGAAGTGTATATGAAAGTAGAAATGTTTTTTCAAACGTTCCATACATTGCTGGTGTATATTTGGTCATGTCTGCAGGTTCCAAATGCTGTTTCTAAATTGGAATTGCCTTCTTCCTAATTTACCACTCCCTTCTCTTACTTTTATTTTGCTTTTGTCATCCATCTTTACTGCTTTTATGTAGAAATTTTTGACTCTTAATTTCTGAATTAATAAAAAAGCTTGAGGGACACAAATGTTGCATTCTTTGAATCTCAGAAAT